TTCATGTGACACACCAGCTTTGACTGCTCTGCAGCATGATGCCTTTAGAGTTCAGGCACAGTGTAGTCAGCCAGGCTGGCCAGTCACTACGACTGGTCTTCTTTACTAAAGTTCAGTCCAAATCTTTGAATAATTTTGCTGTCTGGACCTCAGATACCATATAGGATGAGTGAGTGGAATGGAAGTTGGAGGGAGAAAGGAGAACCACAGCGTTCTGGTGCTATTCTAATCCTAATTCTAATGTATATATTTTGTTCCATTCTAATTTTTCACAATATTTATATCACAGGAGCCCTGAACCTTGCAGCAACTGAATGTATCTGTGCTGAATTTCATGTAGCAGTTATAAACATGGCTGTTTTTCACCAAGACCACCACAAAGCGTGCGAGGTGTCTGCTGCACAGCTCTATTGGAATTAAGTGGCAAGGTTTCAGTAGCAGAGGGATCACAGTGAATTCAAGAGACCCAAGAATTTTAACTCTTTTTACCTCTGCATTTGCACAGTATCAAAATTTACATTACAGGGGTATCTTGACTTTCAGTGTTGCTTACTTGAAAATAATTGAGAACTCCATATTTATATGTACATTCTGTGGATAATATTAGAAATGGAAAATCTGTGCACTAGGAAACTCAAAATGTTATCTTCAGGACTAGTATTTCATAAAAAATAAAAGAAAGCATATAACCATGTCAGACCACTGATCACAGAAATTTCAATTAGAGTAAAATAAAAACTTTTTCCAACATTACCTCACAGCCCAGAATCACATATGGAAGAAGGCATTTCATTCATTTGCTCAGCTTCTATTCCCTCCACTTGAAATGTCTTTTTTATCTACAGTGGTGGAGAGTATTTTATATTCATTAGTCCAAGATCCCCTGGTGTGACCCTAGGTGAGAGTATGGAGTTGGGCCAGGAATGCATTCAGCCTCTGGTCTCATTCTTTCTGGAGCCGTTACCACCTGAAACCAGCATCCTCCCCTGAGGCACAGCTTTTTGGTCAGCTCATTGGCGCACACGGATATGAGGCAACGTTATCTGCACAGTGATTGGTAGCTGCTTGTGAGACCAGTCTACAGATTGGTAAAATGAGACACCTTTGGGGACTGTGGGAGAGTATACTATATGCAGGCATTTCTCACTTCCAAAATGAGAGCTTAAACAGCAAGTCTAGGGGCAGGTGCTATCCTGGGAAAGCAGAAAGCGCTTAATCCAAGCATTTTGGCAGGACTCTGAGTAATAGCATGGAAGCAGAAAAGCAGCTACATTACTACGTGCTGTTATTTTTCACAGCTCACACTGCAAGTCAGCTCCAAGATGAGTTTGCTGTTGCGGGCTTTGCAAACAAGTGGAAACACCCGACCAGCATTTCAGTCAGTTTGAATTTGGGCCTGTATTTAAACTACACCTGCCATTTCTTTCTTATTGTCTCACTGATGCTCAAAGCAGTAGAACAGCCAGCACAGATTTAGCTACCTGTGAGCTTGCTCCCTATAAGAGATGGCAGCCTTACTATTCACATCTTGCACGAAGACTTTAGATAATGCTTGTAGACAATTAGAACTCTTCTTTTATGTAGAGATTAGAAAGTATGTTGGATTAAGAAGGTTTTAAGACTAACAAGTCTCAGAATTTTGAAATCCTGCCTTCTTTTAACTTCAGAACACAGTAAAATCAGGTTAACAATAAAAGTAAAGGATAAAAATTAAGCGCCACATCAAGATCCTGTAACAATGGAGAAAATGCTGACTCTGGATAATCTGCATTTTTCCTCCACCCTTAAGTTGTGCAATTCCTTTCTTCTGTTAATTCAACTGCTCAGAGAAGTGTTGTGCAATAACATGGAAGTTCCCTGTGTATGACACCACTAATGAGAGAAATAGCAGCTGGGAGCCTCCAGTCACTCTCCTAGCATGGCCAGTCCTGCAGTGGAACACTGTAGCTTTCATGTGAAAGCTACATAAATATTCAGAAGTTGCCTTATTCTTCAAGATAACATCAATACATTTTTTCTGTCCCTTTCCAATAGATGTTGCACTATGGCTCTGCTGGTTCAGGGTAATTGCATTTGATGTGATCATAACATAAGGACTTCTCTTCAAAGTGACATCTCAGTTTTACCAGTGCAAATAAGGAATGGCTCTTTTAACACACTTGTAGGGATTAGGTGTAAAACAAATGTGACATCACTGTTGCTACAGCGCCTGGTCCAAGGACTTGTACTTGCTTTTCTCATCTAAGAACTCTTGGAATCTATCAAAGTAGTTAGATTCAAGGCCACCAAATTGTGTCAGAGTCCAGTCTTCAGATAAGAAACATTTGAATATAAGTGCATGATCAAGTATTTATTACAACAGGGGAATAATGCACCAACACAGTTCTGATGAACATAACTTTGCACTGCCAGATAGAAAAGGACTGATAACGCCCACATGATGTTGATCTTAACATTAGCAGAAGCTGAAGTACTCTGTTTTCACAGGAAAGACAGAATAAAGTCGTAATTTCAGCTAACTATGTCACTGAATATTCTCTCTCCTAGCCCCCATCTGAACTAAGTAAACTAAGAACACCATATTTGGCAGTGAATATATAACCTAAGAGCCAAGTCAGCAGGCAACTTCTTCCTTCTTCCACCTTCCAGAATCTTTGCTTATTAAGTTTACAGACAGTAATAGCTTAGGAAGGACTCAGGATCCAAATTCAGTCAAATCTTGACCAGTTGGGAAAATGAACATGAGAGAAGTGAACTTCAAAAAGTGACAAGTTTCGCCATTAGGAAGAAGGCTCTGCTACACACATTTGAGAGGGGCAACAACTGTCTTGCTTGAAACTCCTTTTGAAGGCACTGGAGCTCCAGCAAACAGAACAGAAGTCAGTAATGCTATATAGCTGTAAACAAAAAACACCACAGCAGAATGTCTAATTACAAGTGATATATTTAAGATTAGCCAAGTCAAGCCTTCAGACAACACAGCATTGACTTGACCTGTAATGATGTAACCTTCAGGGAGTGCTGTGCTTCCACAAAGAACACCAGAGAATGGGAAAAAGTACAGAAAATACCAAAAATATACAGAAGTCTAGAAAGCAGAACAGAACCTATGAGTACACACTGAAAGACCTGGCTTTGTTTAGACTAGAAAAGAGAAACCTGAGGGGAGACATAGGAACAATCTGCAAATACACAGAAGGCTGCTGCTAAGAGAAAATAAGTTACTCCCTGTGCCAAATGGATTAAGACAGAAATTAATAGGCTTAAATTGGACCAGGTGAGTTTCCTACCTGAGGATGCTGTGGAATCCAGGTTCCCAGGAACACTGCAAACATTTACAAGTGGCTGCACTGGGATAGGGGGCTTAGCTTTGGCAATAATACTTCTCAAGTCCTGACCTTTCTTCTGTGACTGGATGATAGTTTCAACCTAATTACCACAATATCTTTCAGTACTCCTCTTAGAATGGACTCCTGCCCCGTAACAAACACAGCAAAAGAAAACCCATCAAATCACAAGGTCTCCCTTACATGAACAGAAGGAAGACGTGAGTCAATTTGTGGTTATTAGCTAAAACACTGCAAATACTTTACTGAGTGTCATGGTGTTACGATTTTTGGTTATCAGTACTCCACACCATAACATCATGTAATGCACTGGGGGGGTTTGACTTCTGCCGAATGTTTGTCCGACGGAGAAGAACTACGTTTTCCCAGGAGGCTTTGCGGTCAGCAAGGAGACAGAACTCCGTGCAAGGTCACCTGATCCTTCTTCTTCGCCTGCTCTTCGTCGTCTGCTTTTCTTCAGTCACTCAACTGGACTGCACTTCTCACCTCAGCACTGTGGTGAGGTCTATCTACCATCCAGACAGACTCTCTCTCTCTCGTTGTATTTTGCTAATACTATATTTAGTAAATCATTTGTTCCACCTCAGATTATTGCTGCTGTTTTCAAGTATTTTGGGGTCCCCTGTTTCCCTTTTCTGGAGGCGTGGATCCACAGATCCCTCCACCCTGCTGGTCACGGAACCGGGCCAAACCAGCCCGTAAAACGTTGACACTGAGCTTAATTTAACTTTGGCCAAAGCATAAAATTAATCCATATGCTTTTAAACAGAATTGGAACACATTACACTTTGTGTTCAATCAATGCTGTTGTTGCTGCTGTAATTCTGCTCAATGATGGGACAGCATTTACATCATCTTTGGTACAATGTTTGTTTTTTTTTAAGAGACATTTGAATTTCATGAAAATATATGCAAAAAAGGACTTCAGTTAAACATCACAAAAATGTATTTGTTAGAAGTATACTGTTATCCTTTGACAGTTATTAAAATGCCTGAGAGAGTCCACTCTCAGCAGCACGCATGCTCACAAAATTAAGAGTAATTACTGATACTTTACTGAAGTATAGAACTCCAAAGAGCAGAACCTGCCTTAAGTGGTCATAGGAATACACAGGTAGGTAAAAGTTCAACTTAGACAGTAAGATGAAAAGTAGTATCTGACAGAGCATCATTTTACTGTCCTTGAATAAAATTAATTCGTTAAACCTCTAAGTATTTCAGGGGATCATAGAATTACAGAAGTTGGAGAAGACCTCCAAGATCATCCAGTCCAACCATTCACCTATCACCAATATTTCCCACTAAACCATGCCCTCAGTACAACATCTAAATGTTTCTAGAACACCTCCAAGGACAGCAGCCCCACCGCCTCTCAGGCAGCCTAGTCTAGTGCCTACACACTCTTCTGGAGAAAGAGTCTTCTAGCTGCTCTGCCCCAAGCCTGTAGCGTCACCTGGGGTTGCTGTGGCCAAAGTGCAGACCTGTCACTGGTCTTGTTGAACTTTATCCTGTTGGCCTCAGCCCAGCTATCCAGCCAGTCTAGATCCCTCCATGAGCCTTCCCACCCATAGGCAGATCAACGCTTAATGCTAAGCTGTGTGGCAAGAGGGCTCTGAGCTCCCTTGCATATGCGGCAAAAGAGGCGCAGACTCCTTTGCTGGTGCAGAATGAAGGATCTTTATTGAAAGTGCTTACAACCTTTTACACCCATGCAACAACAACTGGTTACATGTAGGAGCCAGGTGCCTTGTGTGTGTTGACATCTGGCTCAAGTTGCTAAGCTTTTTTACTCATTAGCATGATAATGACTTTCTTTATCCCACATCTCCCCCTTCTCTTCTTCTTAGTAGAGAAAGAAGAAAAACGATGGGTTCTTTAGAGCACAAATAATAGTCCATATTAACCTAACCCAACGATTCCAATTTGTATGATTCCTTGGAGAGGCAGCTGACAGAGCGTCTTGTCGGTGAGAGTCCAAAGCACTGATGAAAGTACTGTGTTCATGTTACAGCAGATGATGATACGGCCAGACTCATCATGCTGGTATCCATCTTGGACATATTCCTATTAAGACAAAAGCACAGCCTCAGTCCCACCTCATCACTGTCAATGATTTAAAAAAATTAAGAACATAGCATGCTTTAGCTACTCTTTCCTAAGGGGTCATACCTGCACTCCCCCTTTCTTGTATTTTGTTTGTTTGTTTTTGTTTTTAAATAGGGAAATCTATTATTATTTAAATCACTGAAATTACATAATCAGAACCAGAATTAAGAAAGCCAGGCAGGTGCAGGTAAGACAGCCAGTCAAGATGGACTATACAACCAAATACGAGAAAGCTTCCTATATTGATAATCTACTGCACATGAACACGTGTCATTTTACAGCAAATACTGTTTTCCAATTTAGAATTCAGACACAGCACAACTTTCAAACATACTTTAAACATTGTTAGGCTTATCTTAGAATTTTCTGGAGCACTGAACAACTGCTAAAAGGTTAAGAAAAATACACTGCAACAATGCCAACAGCTGGAATAGTGCAACTCCAAACACCAGCATACATCTCAGCAGCAGCTTTTGCAGCTCCAGCTCCCACATACTGACTGTCACCAAGCCTGGAGGTTTGATCCTCCTTTTCTTGCAGTGGTGAATGAACCATAAACTCAGGCTCTGCAAACCTTGCTTCCAGTTGCTGAGATCCGATAGCTTCCACTCCAGCACCTTTTGTTGCATCAGTTCCTTAGTAATGGGATTCTTCAGAGCATGCAGCACTTTTTTGAAGTCAGCGTTCACATTTTCAATCACTAGCTGTTCAAAACAAGAGCTCTCTCCTGCTTATTATCAACGTGTTTTTCCAACGAGTTCTTAAGCCTATCCAGAAATGACATATGTTGGGACTGTTGCTTAATACTAATAAAAGACTGCCTTTGCTTTCCATCCTCAGCTACAGCTCGGAGAGCACGCATAGCCAAATGCTTAATTTGCTGTAATCCCTCTGAAGCAATTAGCACCCACAGAGCTGGGGTGGAGAAACCACCCTCCCCATTAAGACATTAACATCTACAGCTCAAAGCAGATTTCTCTGAGGTTGCAACAGGTTTTCAGTTGCCTGTCAGTTTTCAGTGTCAACACCCTCCATTTGGATTCCCACAAAATGTCTCACAGGTCACTGTAAAACAAAGACTCCCATTGCTGCTCTGGTCCCGGGGCCACAAAGAATGGGAAATCCCTCAACATATCAATGTCTCCCAATTTCCTGGACTTCCTAAATCCCACGTATCATACGGAAAAAGGAGAAACAGATCCAGCTGGGGGCTTCCAGGGGGCTTCTCTGCCAGCCCTGCTGTGCACTTTGGCCAGGATGATTTTTACTCATCAGCAAGATTATGATTTTCTTTATCCCATACAGTTGGTGTCGTCTGCCACCCTTACCATGGGTATGCTCCATTCCCTCATTCAGATCATAAACACCTTAAAACAAACCTTCTCCCTTAATTACTTAGATGGGAAAAGTCAGTGCAATTTTGAGAAGATAACTGGATATGAGTAAATGAAGGAATGACATCAGGAAGTCATGTGTAATTCCCACTACCTTCACGTATTCCATGAGTATTTAACAGTACTGAAATGCAAACATCACATATAATCTATGCAATATAGTTTTGGAGAATACATCTAATGTTGGCTTACTTTATGATATACTGAAGGAATGGAAGACGTCAAAGAAAGCACAGTTTTTTCTTGGTCTTGCTTTTCCCCTCCTCCTGCTAATGCAACCCAAGTTTTGCCATCTCTCCTGGGCCCACCGTAGGGATCTAAGTGCTAGAAATCTACATCTCATCTCATTCCCCTCAGTAATACATCTAAAACGAAATGTTGGCAGTAGGCAGTAACTTGCTTCCTCATTCCTCTAACCTCTCATCTTCTAGCCACGTGTTGATTTCTCCACACCCTTGTTCTCTATCATAGCTTTCTATGACTGCTCTGAAAGCACTGGCTCCAACTTCTGTTGCCTCACAACATCAGAGGCTGATGGTGGTAGTATGGCAGTAGGAGCTGAACCTTCCCACCAACATCCTGTCACACAGCAACATAATATAAATGGTTGACAGCAGAGGGGCAGTCTGACAAAATGACATCTTACATGGAAGTACATAAAAAGCACAGGCATCACTGAATTCTTCCATGTGGGAGAAAGAAAAAAACAGCACCCACTGACACCCATTGATGCTTGCTGAGCACTGATGGTGGTGCTTTTCAGCAATAGCAACAGCAGGTCACCTCCACTGGTGCAGGTTGTTAGAAGAACAGTATACAGGCTCTTGTTCATTGCTGGTGATTTGACCTTAGACCTTCCTTGCTCAGGAAATTAATAATGTCTTGCTTCTCTAGTTCACCCCCACAACAGCAGCACTGAACTAGTTACAACCTTTTGTTGCTAGAATAACACATCCCCTTCTAATACTATTTATTCAAAATCTACAGTATCTGAACAGCCTATGAACTTATATATCTGATATTTTCTTTTTGAGATGTCATGCCCAGAGTGAATGATTCTTTGCTAAAATTTCCTTCTGGTAAAAAAAGCAGAGAAATATCAGCGTTCCTGAGTGAAATCCTGTTGCAACTGGAATTAAAAGGACAGTCACCAGCAATCACAAAAGGCCACAAATAATCTCTAGAAGTTCATGATTCATCTCAGCAAGAAGTACTGTCACCAGCTTTAGGTATTCCTAGATCTGCTTGGCAGACACTAACATACACTCACAAAGCATTATCTCTGCTGGAAAATCTTGAACGTGTTGAAATGTGGAATACGAGCGTCACAAAAGTATTTCACTTGTAAGAATAATGAGATACTCTGGAAATTATTATGTAATTAGAGATATAGGAATATAATATAGAGATATAGAAATGTATAATAAACTATTTTTAATGCAGAAGAGGGTTTTATTATATTCCTATAACAGTAATTTTGTAAAATCTGCAAAATACACTTCGAACTCACATCATTTATTTAATGATAGGCTTGAAACAACTTAAATGTAATCTCAGACATTCTTCGAAAAGAGCAATAATCCGTAATTTTGATTCTGTTCTTTAAGCACACAGAGCACAAAAGCAAGATTTTCATCATCTAACCACTGTGAAATTATGCCTCCACATCAAGACTTTTCCATCATCATACGGTATTGTATAATGCCACATTTAGGCAACGAAATCCCAAGCTCATGCACTGACAAGCAGACTCCACAGCCAAGTAAAATAGCACTGCTGATCTGTTATAAACATCTGATGGAAATTTCTCAAACCCAGAGTTTTCAATTCTGTAATATTTAATATTTGAAAGACATAAAATTCATTGTGTAAGTAATTAAGGTTTTCTCCAGCTTTTATCTAAATTTTAACATGTTTTAGAATGTGACTCTGGTGTAAATCAATAAGATACTACTTCCTTTTAAATTAGAGTGCTAAATAAAATAATTTTCTTCCCAGCAGTCTGGGATTTAAAGCGATATTTTTCAAAATTTAAATTGGAAAAATCAGCCTTACTTGCAAATTTCTGTTTGACCCTGTCATTACTATTAGTTCACCCTTCCAGATGTTCAGTATTCCGGGTCATCCTTTGCTTTTTACATGTAAACAATAAATGAGAATCTATTGTTCCAGAACACAGACTTTCTTCCCCATGCCTTTTAGAGCAAAACATAATTTGCTATTTTGTTGAAGTTCATCCAATTTCCACTGTCACTGTCTGGCAAGGTTAAGATGCATATATCTATATATCTTTTTGTCCATTCCCATATTTGGTTCTCTTCCTCATTTTAGTGTTTTTTCATTATTCTTGTTCATTTTAAGCATTTTCCAACTTCTAAAAATAATTATCAGTACTATCCTTTCTTGCACTTTAAATCTTTGCACTTGGTATAATGTGAAGCCATGGTTCTTCCCTTTTTCCTTTCATTCCAGATTCTCTTCTACTTATGTTTCTATTTTGTTACATTTCTTAAGTTTAACTTTATACACTTATTTTTGTTCTCTGCTGTTTTAAGTTGCTAATACTTATTTTGAAGAGTAATTTTTAAGTCAAATCGCTGTCAACTACATTCCAATAGACTCTAAGGAACAAAACTGTGATCCAGATCCATGTATTCTTTGTAATTTGCCTGTCTAAGGTTTTTCCTTTGGTGAAACAGATCAGAAACAGGGAGAAAGTATATTCCTAGTGGATGTATTTCTTTCAGGAACAAACCGTTTGCAAATGAAAACAAGGAAACCATCTTTTTTTTTTAACCTAGTGGAGGTACAAATATGCAAACATTAAACTGTCAAGGCATAAGGTATGAGCCCCATTAATGCTTCACCATCCAAAGGTACCTTTTCAATAAACAGAAGCAACCACGTTAATAATAGATTCCATATATAAGTTTAGAGTAGAATGGTGCAAATGGCTTTCTGGGTATCTAGTAATTCATATGGGAGAATATAAAATGTAATTATTTTGGCAACTAATTATCCAAACATGTATTAATGGAATAAGGTAATACTAATAAGATTTTTACACGCAAAGTAAATCCTTTCCTTTGTTTTTTATTTCATTTGGAGTCAAAACTGAAAGAAATCGTATGACTGCTGAATCACTTTGGAACAGCACACTCTGAAGCTGCCATCATACTTATGAATCTTAATGCATAAGAAATACTCTATTGCCCTTCATAGCTTAAAAAAAAAAAAAAGTACTTTTTTTTTTTAAGATGCTCAAACTGGTTCATGGTAGCGTTGAAAAGGAAGACTTGCATGAATTTTTATCCTCTTTTCCTAGAAACACTAAGTTTCATGGCACTATATGTAATGACACGCAGTGCCAACACAGAACATATGTTAGGATGCCATAAAGGGTCATCTCTTCTACCTGTGTGAGGACACATCTTTCAAGACAAATTCTACTCAAGTTCAAATACGGATTAGCTGGAATTGAAACGCCCAGTAAAACTCTGTCCAAGTACAGGTAAATGTTGTTTAATATATGTATGGATTCAGGAGCCTCAACCAGCTAACTGCACTGCTGCAGCCGACCAGATGAGCAGAACAGTTTAACCTGTATACATTTCAATCAGAAGTTTTAATTAAGATTCTGAGAAGTGTCTTTGTCTGCTTTTGGTGTTGTTACTACCTTGACTAAATAATGTTACTTTTCTAATACCAAATTTAATGTCTGTAGTCCCTACTCTTCCATAACTCTCTTTCTTCCTCCACAGCATTTTTTACATTCTTGTCTTTCTTTTCCCCTACTGCAATGCTTGCTTCCCTGCCAGCAGAGAAGTTTCTCTTCTGTTCTCCTTCTCTTGCCCCAGAGACATAGCATTATGCCTTATTTCCTCCATTTCTTATTAACACGTCACTTTCATCTGGCTCTTCCTCCTTCCAGTGGAAACATTCCTTAGTTTCTGTGTCCTTAAAAGGCCTGCTGTTGTCCAAATTTGTTTCTCTAGCTACAGATCATTTCTCACTTGCTTAATAACAAAGAACATGCCATTTGCAGTTGGTTTATTTGTTGTTGGTTGTTTTTTTGTTGTTGCTGTTTTCCAGCCAATTTCTCTAAAGTACCTTCTGCCCTTGAATTTCACTGAAATTATTTCTCATGGTCCTTCTATTCCTAGCTGCATCTAAAAGTTGTGGCAGTCAGGTGAAGGCCCTGGTGACTGAAAAAAAAGGCAACGTTGCACCCATTTTTAAGAAGGGTAGAAAGGACAACCCAAGGAACTACGAACCTGCCAGCCTCAGCTCTGTGACAGGGAAGACCATGGAAC